CACCATTTTTGACAGAGTTTTGGACTTGGAAAAATTCCAATTTGGGGGGAGGAGGCATAACTGTTTTACAAACATATCTTGTTAAATTATATTCCATTACTGGTAAAGACTAATCTCCACTTGAAATACTTTTTGCTTTAAAAAAAAATAGCCTTGATCAAACATCCCATAGGCAATAATTTAATGGGGAAGAAAATTACATTTCTGGTTAATTGCACAATATTCAGGTCATCTTGGTCATGCATACATATATACAGTTTTTGGTCAATGATTACATGATGGGTAGGCTTATCGAAGAAATTTCAATTTTGTTCATAAACAGCCTCTGGATAGAAGGAAAGATTTGCATTTTGAGTTTAGTTGGTAATGTAATAGATCCAATGGATAGGAGGAGTTGGGGAGAATTTCTTAATATCTAATATGAGGTTTAAATTGATTGGAATGAAAAATATGGAGACAACGAACAGAACTCAAGATCAAGAGCCCATAAAACAATCACACTCATTTATAAAAAAAAAAAAAGGGGGGGGGTAATTGAAAGTAATTAATCACACTCCCATATTAGTACATACATGTATAATCTTCCTCAATGTTGATCTTTATGTATTTAACAGATAGAACAAAATTTAAGTCAATTTTGTTAAGGTCAACAGTTGTGGCAACAAAAATACAGTGATGTGCATTGAAATGGTAAAAAATTTCATTTGAATGGAACATTTGTTTTTTTCTTGTATACCATCAAGTGTTGCATAACCTTGTGCCCATTTCTTAAAAAGAAAAAAAAAATGAGATAGCAATTTTCTGTGCAATATTGTTTTAAGACAACCCCACTTTGAGACTTAGCATGTATCAAAACCTGGTTATACCCCCTGCAAACGAAGTTTCGGGGGGGGGGGTACATAGGAATCACCTTGTCCGTCTGTCTGTCTGTTAAAACGTGTCCGGTTCATATCTTTCTTTCGGAGGAACATAAGAATCTACTACTCCACACAAAGATTGCCCATGACCTAAGGGTGTGTCATGACCTTGACCCAAGGTCATTTGGGGAACTTCAAGGTCACTGGAAGAAAAATTTCATAATTTGTGTCCGGTCAATATCTTTCTGACGGAGGGACATTAGAATCTACCACTCCACACAAAGATTGCCCATGACCTAAGGGTGTGTCATGACCATGACCCAAGGTCATTTGGGGAAGTTCAAGGTCATTGGAAGAAAAAATTCATAATTCATGTCTGGTCCATATCTTTCTTATGGATAAACTTGGTAGGTTCTCATTCCACACAAAGACTGCCCATGACCCATGGGTTTGTCACGACCTTGATCGAGGTCATTTGGGGAAGTTCAAGGTCACTGGAAGAAAAATTTCATAATTCGTGTCCAGTCCATATCTTTCTTATGGATCAACTTGGTAGGTTCTCATTTCACACAAAGATTGCCCATGACCTCAGGGTGTGTCATGACCTTGACCCAAGGTCATTTGGGGAAGTTCAAAGTCACTGGAAGAAAAATTTCATAATTCATGTGTGATACATATCTTTATTATGGAAAAACTTGCTTCTGAAAAACCCAGCGGGGGGTATTTTGTCCCGTTTGGACAGTTCTAGTTTTAAATTGGCAATTTACTTTTCTGTTTTGGTTTAATTTATTAAATATACTGCCTATCATTTGTTTTTTTTTCTATAAAATATTAAGATGATATGTCAATTGATTACTCAATTTATTTGATTGGTCATTTTAAAAATGGGTTAAAAATTTTGAAATTGTGCAAAACTTGAAAGAAAAGTTATTTTACCTATTCTTTCCTCCCTTTTCTATTATATAGAAGGATGTACAGTTGAGTCATGGTAATCAGGATACTTCACATTACTGATGAGGTGTGTTAAAAACAGAATGTTTAGATCTACAAGTAATTCGGGATTAAATTCGGTATTCCTGATGCTTCATAAACCAAGATTCTAAGAAGTGTCTGTATTAACAAGGCTTGACTGTACATCCGTAGTATCTATATTCATTATTTACTTTATCCTTTGTAGATGCCTAGAAGAAAGTATTGGAGGATGAGTGGTGCCAGGAAAGAGTTACGGACTGACAAGACTGAGGAGACTGGCCTCATGAAAAACAGTAAAACAATGTCTGACCTTGACTTGACTGAGGAGACTGGCCTCTTTAAAAACAGTAAAACAATGTATGACATTAGAATGACTGAGGAGACTGGCCTCGTGAAAAACAGTAAAAGCAATGTTGACACTGAGGATCCTGCCCTCAGCTTACAAAAAAACAGGTCAAACAAAGAAACTTGTGCAACAAATCTGCTGAATGATTTTTGTAAGACAAATTTGCTGAATGAACTATGTGAAACAAATCTGCTCAATGAATCTCATGAAAAGAATTTGCAAAACATTACTGAACAAAAATTGACAAACAATGCCTCAATCACTAAAACTGTACAACATAATCATGGTGTAACGGCTGAAGAAGGCAAAGCACTTAGTCATGCAATCGACCAGGTATGCAATACAAAATTTGTATTTGGGTCATTTCATCAAGGGGATGCAAGGTTTTCATCATTTTCTAGAGGAAGTCAGTGTACCTGCAATGCGCTTACTATGCTGATAAAAAGTTACGAAGGATTTTCATTCTCAACAGAATTTATTGATAGCACTTTAATAGCAGGAGATCAGGTTTATGTTATGTTGGTCAAGAATTTGCAGCAAAGACAATTGTTTCTTAACAAACTACTTAAATTTGATGAGTTGCCAAGTACCTTAACTTTAGGAGAAAATCATCATGTCATTGAGAAATTTGAAACCATGTGGGGAATACTTGTCTCTGATGAACAAAGTAGTCAAGTGAAATCATTGCATCAAGCTTTAGAAGAGGCTTTCCAGGTTTCTAGATATTTGCTGATAATGATAGGGGCAATTTGTTCTGGTATATACAAAGTGTCAGACAATGAATTTTACTTTTTTGACTCTCATCCACACGACAGTGCTGGCATGTCTGCCTGTGATGGTAAATCAGTACTAGTACAAAGCAAGACTATTGATGATTTGGTGTCATATTTGTACAGTATGTATAACAGCATGCATATAGATTTTAGAACGCAGTTTGAAATCTTACCAATCTCAATTAAGACTTTGCATCATAGTTTTCCAGAGAAAAGCCCATTGCAGAAAAGATTTTACAAAATGGATGATCATCTCTCATCTAGGACAAAATCGGATCAAAACCCATGCAGAAAAGTGTATATGAGAGATTACATGAGGAGAAAAAGACAGAATGTACAATTTAAGCAATTAGAAAGAAACAAAGAAACACATGCAAAAAAGTTACGAAGACAAAATGATGATATAAAAAGCAGAGAAACTGAAATTGCAACATTTGCAAGGAAATTGAAAAGGCAGAATGCTGAAATAAGACAGAAAGAAAATGAAAGAGAAGCAGCTGCTAGAAAGTTAAAGCGACAAGATACTGAAATTAAAACGAAAGAAAGGGAAATGGATAAGCTTGCAAGAAAATCAAAGCGACAAGATGCTGTAATTAAAGAGAAAGAAAGGGAAATGGATAAGCTTGCAAGAAAGTCAAAGCGACAAGATGCTGTAATTAAAGAGAAAGAAAGGGAAATGGACAAGCTTGCAAGAAAGTCAAAGCGACAAGATGCTGTAATTAAAGAGAAAGAAAGGGAAATGAATACTGCAGGTAGAAAGTTAAGGCGACAAGATACTGAAATTAAAAAGAAAGAAAGGGAAATGGATAAGCTTGCAAGAAAGTCAAAGCGACAAGATGCTGTAATTAAAGAGAAAGAAAGGGAAATGGATAAGCTTGCAAGAAAGTCAAAGCGACAAGATGCTGTCATTAAAGAGAAAGAAAGGGAAATGAATACTGCAGGTAGAAAGTTAAGGCGACAAGATGCTGAAATTAAAGAGAAAGAAAGGAAAATGGATAAGTTTGCAAGAAAAGTAAAGCGACAAGATGCTGAAATTAAAGAGAAAGAAAGGGAAATGAATACAGCTGGTAGAAAGTTAAAGCGACAAGATTCTAAAGTTAAAGAGAAAGAAAGGAAAATGGATAAGTTTGCAAGAAAGTTAAAGCGACAAGATGCTGAAATTAAAGAGAAAGAAAGGGAAATAAATACGGCTGGTAGAAAGTTAAAGCGACAAGATACGAAAGTTAAAGAGAAAGAAAGGGAAATGAATACTAAAGGTAGAAAGTTAAAACGTCAGAATGTTGAGGTGCAAGAGAAAGAGAAAGAGGGCAGTAGAGTTTCTAAAAGAAAATGCCGAGAAAATCCAACTGTTCTTGAAAAGGAAAGGTTAAGAAAGCAAGCTAAACGAAGTAACATTTCATTAAGAGAAAATGAGAGATTCCTAAATAGGGAACAGAAACAGAAGCAAAGAGCAGATAAAGAATATTGTGAAAAAGTAAATGAACGACAGAGACAGAAAAGATTTGGAGCAGATATAGGAGATTGCATTCAAAATTTTCATGAGCAGATTAGACATGGTCCAATTTTTGTATGCTCATGTTGTCAGCAAACATGGTTCAAAGAAAGTGTTTCTAAAGTGGAAAACATCATACTAGATGATAAATATAAAAACAAGTTTCTTACAAGCACTGTGTCTGTTGAAAATATGGAATGGATTTGCAATACTTGCTGTTCATCAATAAGAGAAAACAAAATTCCGAAGTTGTCTGTCTTAAATGGTATGATGTGGCCACTTAAGCCAATGGAATTAGATTTGTTTCCTTTAGAAGAAAGGCTTGTATCTCTGAGAATACCTTTTATGCAAATAAGTTGCCAAGGGGTGGACAGTATTCTGTAAGAGGAAATATTGTGAATGTTCCTGTTGATATTCAACCTACTGTAAATAGCCTGCCAAGAAAATTAAATGAAAATGTCACAGTTCCTGTCAAATTAAAGAAAAAGTTGTCATATCAAAAATGTGATTATCACGAAAATGTACGACCAACAAAAGTACTGATAGCGTTGCACTGGCTTATGAACAATAGCGACTTTTACAAGTATGCAAATATCAATGTTGATGACAACTGGTTTCAAGAAATTACAACGTCAGCAAGTGAAATTGTTCAGGAATTAGTGAAAACACAAGAGAGAAACAACCAAAATGCTGATGATCTTGAGACGATTGATGATGATGATGATGATGAATTCTGTGAAGTAGATGGAGTTGGTAGAGATGGTAATTGTGATACTCTTTTAGATGATGCTTCACGAGACATGAATCAGGTATACACATTTGCTCCAGGTGAAGGACAACGCCCGCTTAGTTTATATCAAGATCAGACAGCTGAGTATTTATCATTTCCAACAATTTTTTGTGGAAAGGGAAGATTACAAGATGATGAAAGACAAGTTCGTGTCTCATATGCAGATATTGCTAAATGGGAATTAAGGAGTGTTGATAGACGTGCTGCCCAGTCGGTTCCAAATTTGTTTTTCAAGTTGAAAAAAATACAAATGAAGCAAGTGACAGACAAATGCAACCTGGCTCTTAGGAAATGCAAAACCAAAGGAAAATCCATGACAGCAAATGAAATGAAAAATCCTGAAAATGTTAATAATCTTGTTAGACACGATGAAGGCTTCTTCGTGTTCAGGCAGTTACGAAATTCACCTGCATATCTTGAGACTAGAAAAAAAGATGTATTTGCTATGATCAGACAGTTAGGTCTACCAACATGGTTTATGTCTCTGTCAGCTGCAGATACAAGATGGAATGATCTCATCAGAGCACTTGGTGTGTTAAATGATGGAAAAGAATACACTGATGAAGAAATCGACAGTATGACTTGGTTTGAAAAATCAAAATTAGTACAAAAGGATCCTATCACTTGCTCTAGGTACTTTGATCATAGGTTCCGTATGTTTATGAATACAGTGTTGAGAAGTGATCATCATCCAATTGGGATTGTAAAAGACTTCTTCTACAGAACTGAATTTCAGCAAAGAGGATCACCACATATTCATATGATTGTTTGGATAGAAAATGCACCAAAATATCATGAAAATAATGAACAGGAGATAGTAAGTTATGTAGATAATTACCTGGAATGTGAAAAGAATGAAGAGAAGGATTTGACTGACTTGCAAGTGCACAAACATTCACAGACATGCAAAAAGAGAGGTAAAGCTGTATGTCGATTTGGTTTTCCCCTCCCTCCTCTTGAAGAAACTTTGATTTTGGAGCCACTAGAGTGTGATGTTGATAAGTACAAGAAAATGTATGATGATATTCAGAAACAGCTGAATGATATGAAAAATGGATGTGATTTGCCCTACAAGGAGCTCCTGAGCACGGTTCTAAAGATATCGGAGGAAGATTACATGAAATGCATTAGAAGTTCACTGAGAGGTCCAAAGGTTTTTCTAAAAAGAAATCCATGTGATATGAGGGTAAACTCATACAACAGTGTTGTTCTTGATGCTTGGAAAGCTAACATAGACATTCAATTTATTTTGGACCCATATGCCTGTGCAATGTATATTGTTTCATATATAAGTAAATCACAAAGAGGGATGAGCGATTTACTTAACAGAGCTGCAAAAGAAGCTAGAGAAGGAAATCTTGACATAAAAAGACAGGTACGTCATATTGGAAATCATTTTCTCAACAGTGTAGAAGTTGGAGCACAGGAAGCAGCATATTTAGTATTGCAAATGCCAATGACCAAAGCTTCAAGAGATGTTGTTTTTATAAACACAAGTCCATCAGATGACCGAGTAATTCTCATCAAAACAGATGCTGAATTGGAAAAGTTGACACCAAATTCTACAGATGTGGAATGTAGCAATGTTATTAAACGGTATGCAAAACGCCCAAAGCAGCTTGAAAACTGGTGCTTAGCTGATTACGTATCACAGCTAGATGTTGTCTTCCCTAAAGATACTGAAAAAGAGTTCACTGAAAATGAAGTGAATGATGATGATCAGGACAATCAGTCAGATAATGAAGACAATTCAGATCTTGAATTTAGTGAGAGTGATACACTTGTTACTCTGAGAAATGGCATAAAAATTAAACGACGGAAAGTACCAAGGGTAATTAGATATGTTCGATTTAATATCAAAACTGATCCAGAAAATTACTACAGAGAAAAACTCATGTTGTTCATGCCTTGGAGAAATGAATCAACTGATCTAATATCAGGAATGGACACGTTTGAGAAGTCATTTCATCTGAAGAAGTCATTTCTTACACACAAGGTCAAAGAATATGAATTCAATGCTGAACAGCTTGATGCAGCTTTGCAAATGGCAACTGAGGATTTTTCAGAAGCTTATGATGAATTGGCACCAGATGTTCAGCAAAGAGAGGCAGAAGATGAAAATGAGGGATCTCTTGAATCTGAAAACTTTGTTCAGTTTAATCCTGAGAGGCCTATTGAACAGAGACAGTATGATATAGGATCTGACCTTGGAATTCCATCAACAAGACAAATAACTGAAGAAAGTTCCGTTAGATTACCAGACGATGAATACTTGAAACTTTTAGGAAGTTTAAATGTAAAGCAGCGAGAATTTTTCAATCATGTCTTGCAATGGGTCAAAACAAAGACAGAACCTATTTATTCATTTTTGTCTGGAGGTGCTGGTGTTGGCAAATCTGTTTTGATAAGGGCACTTTATCAAGCTCTGCACAGATTCCTATGTTCCACAGAAGGTGAAAATCCAGATGACATAAGAATACTTCTTTGTGCTTATACTGGCAAGGCGGCATACAACATTGGAGGAAAAACTATTGCATCTGCTTTCCATCAAAAAATTAATCAAAGTCAACAAAGTTTGCACTGTGATGAATTGAACACTTTTCGTACAAAGTACAAAAACCTAAAATTGATCATTATTGACGAGATATCAATGGTTGGAAATAGATCATTAGCACTCATTGACAGTCGGCTACAACTTCTCACAGGCATCAAGAAACCATTTGGTGGTATTAGTATCATAGCTGTTGGTGATTTTTTTCAACTTAAACCTGTAATGGACCGTTGGATCTTTCAGGATTTAAATCATGATGCTCAAGCTCTTGCAAACAATCTCTGGAAGGAGCATTTTTGCATTTTTGAGTTGGATGAAATAATGCGCCAGAAGGACGATCTTGAGTTTGCTCAACTTTTAAATCGCCTTCGTTACAATATTATGACAGAAGAAGATATGAATGTGATACACAGATGCATGATAACGGAAACAAGTGACAATTATCCACATCATGCTCCTCATCTCTTTACACAAAATTCAAAAGTAGATGCATACAACAATCACTTGATTGAAAAACTTGAAGGAGAAAAGGTCACAGTAAATTCAGTGGATAGTGTTCTAAAGGATTATTCAAAGGAACTTAAGGAAAAGCTGCTTAGATCTCTATATAAAGCAGATGATGTTAGCAAAACTGCTAATTTGATGCAAAAACTGATTCTTGCTGTTGGGATGATCTATGATATCTCGGTGAATGTTGATGTATCTGATGGTTTAACAAATGGGTCAACATGTAAGGTACAATTAATTGAAAGAAAAATGGAAGGAATATCAAGACCAAGCATCGTGTGGGTAAATTTTTTTGATGCTGCTATTGGAAAAATTACTCGCAAGAAATATAAACATTTGTTTCATGAAGGAATTAAAGTGGACTGGACACCAATTTTTGAAGTTCAGCGATCTTTTGTATTGAATTACAATACGTTTCAGAGAATTCAATTTCCGTTACGGCCAGCTGCAGGAAAAACAGTTCATAAAGCGCAAGGTTGCACTGTTGATGAAATTGTGATTGATTTGTCTCAGACTAGAGTGAGGAAAAATCCACATATTCACTATGTAGCATTAAGTCGAGTACGATCCGTGGATCATCTGCACATCCTAAACTTCAATGAACAGGCATTGGCTATGGATGAACAAGTAGTAGAGGAAATGGAAAGAATGAAGAAAGATGTGCCGCTGCTACTTTGTTATGTCCCATTATACCAGGTCGATTTGCATTCTTTTAAAATTGCTTTCAACAACTGTGGATCACTTCATAAACACTTCCCACAAATTCAAGATGAACCAAATATTGTTGCATCAGATGTAGTTGGATTCTCAGAGACAAGATTAACTAGTGTTGATGTAGCTGAAAATTATCAACTGGAGGGATACACAGCAGTATTTAACCATGAGCCTACGTGTAATCTGGACAGACGCCCATATCATGGAACAGCACTGTATGTGAAAAATGTCTATAACACAACCTGTATCTCAAAGCTGAATACTGGGTCTGTGGAGTTTATCATGGTAAATATGCATTTAAACCAAAGCAGAGATGTTCAAGTTGTAGTTATTTACAAATATCCATCTTGCTCTTTTGGGGATTTCAAACAGCATATGAATATGCATATAAAGCCCTTGATTGATGAACAGAAAGACGTGGTATTCTTAGGAGATTTTAATTTTGATTTATTTGCTGGACATACAGACTTTCTAACTTTTATGGAAAAGGGCTTCAGCTGTAAACAAATTGTGTGTAAGGCTACTCATGACTCTGGTTCTAAACTTGACTTGATTTTTACAAATATATCGCAGTGTGAAACAGATGTTGTTGAAGCATACTGGTCAGATCATAAAATGGTGTACTGTGCATTTGATAAGACTTTGCATTAAATACAATGGGGCTCCAAAGTAAAAAAAAATTCAGAGGGAGATTCAAAATAGTGCCCCCTCCCTCATCCCTTTGTCCCAATCCTAGTATACCCCTTAAAATTTTAGGGGTATACTGGATTCACCATGTCCATCTGTATGTGTCGTAATTTGTCAAAGCCTGGAGCTATTTTTTTTATGATATGCTGTCATGACCATCTAAAAAAATTAGATCAAGGTCTCAAACTTAAAATGTTTAAAATTTTTGGTTCTGGATGTATATATTATATGTTATACTTTGGCAGAGAATGCTTACGAAAAAGGGATCTGTCTTGATCTCATTGGATGTCATGATTGTACAAAATCATTCTGTAATATGACTAAGAAGTTGAGTATTCTTTGATCCAAAAGCTTGAACTGTAGGTAATTGTGTTCTTCACTCAATGGAGAATAACATGACCTTTAACTAATTATATCTCAACAAAATTCAGGCCATTTCCTTGGTCATTTGCAATAATGTTAGCCAAGTATATGTCTTTCCATATTCGCTTGTTGGGGTATTAGCCCTATTTGGACATTTTTTTAAATAACCCACTATTTGAAAATTTGAATTTTGTACTTTGTATCAAATCAATTTTGTTTTTAAATGAAGACATCTATGTTTTAGACCTGACTGTCAGTTACATATTGAATTCTTATTGTACTTACGTACGTGTATATACTGGGTATGTTTAATTTCTTAAGATTTTAATTGTATGGATTTAAAAAATTCATATCTTTTGCTATGACTACAATTTATGCTGAATTTATTATGCATATTTAAATTGAAATGAAAGGTCATATTCATAAATAAATGCATTATTTCTGACCATAACCAGTAGATTGATCAACTGTTGATTTTATATCTGAGGATTTGTAAAACTGTGAACATCTCTTTTTATGTATATGTATAACAACTATTAACTTTTGAATATATAGTTTGTAAATTTCTTTGGTTTTTTATTTACTTCCATTATTGTTATAAGTATAATCATGTATATTCATTTCGTAGTTTGTTCAATGTATTGGATATATCCATTCTGAGAACAATGTATTACCATTTCGAAAGTTCAGATATCTTACAAACAATATTGATGTTTCAGAAATTGAGAATCATCTATCCCATAATGTGACTTTGGATTTAAATACCGATAACTGGATATTAAGTTGGGAGCTTTTTTTATCCTGATATTTTGTGATCTTTCTTGATGGACATTGAAGAATATACTCTTTGATATACTGGAGTGATTGTGACTCTAGACCATATGCCATATTATCTGTGAATCGATCTGACTCTTCCAGCTACTTCGTGTGACATTCATATCTTCTCATAATATTTGCCAGATATATCATTGCAAAAATTAAATGTACTGTGTCACCTTATAGAATGTGGACACCACTGAGTTGGAGCTCTTCATTGACTGCATGACTTAAAATGATATTTTGCTGAAATATTTTGAAATTTTATTTGGATTTGTGGCTTGTTAAGTTTTTTTGTTAAGCAAAAACTTGATAAAACCTGACATACAAAAAGGAATTATATTTTACTTAATCATGTCTTATTTGTACTATGAACTTCTTTGTAAATATGTTTCTTCAAAATAACAATGCCTTATTAACAGTTCAAAAATGTCATTACATTGTCACAGCTATAGTCAGATTTTAGAGTTGAGATCTCAGATTCCCTGATTCAAATGAATACTATACATAAATCATGTAGATTTTTGTGAGCATCAAGTGATTAAAGATTACTTCTATTAGATAAAATTTAATATGTACAAAATGTATAATTTACAGGTAAGTATGGAAAGAGGGGGTCAATGGCCAGCCCGTAAAGGGAGGTAAACCTACCTCTTTTAGAAAATAATAAAAATACTTATAAATATGATAGCACATGATATGCTACATTTATAATAAAAAACTTTATAGGAATAAAAGTGCTCCCTTCAATTTTTCAACAAGATTCTTTGAATCAGGGGTTCTGAGAAAGCATTTATTATGTAAATGTAAAGTATTATGCATATTGCTAAAAACTGAAGAACCTTTTTTTCCAATCGCTTACACGTAACCTTTCCTGTTTTCGCTTTCATTGGGAAAGGTATGTATTATAAAGTAATTGTATTTTTTTTTAATTGACCAATATATTTAAGACAAAAATGCATATTTTGCCTGCATTTTCAAATGATTTTTCCCATGCTATATACATGTACAGTAATACTCTTTCAAATTATTAAGATTTATTGTAATTTTCAATTGTTATGTTTTAAATTTAATTATACATGTACTGATTTTATAAATACATGTTTTTGACTTACAGCTTCATATGTATGAAAGCAAGTTTCAAAATAAGTAATATATTTCAAATTGTATATTCTTATATCAAATGTGTCAATTTGGTTTAATATGTACCACATTGTTAATCGTTTTATCTGTTATTTTACTTAAAAAGAAAGTTCATATTGTTAACTACAGATAATCATGATAATCACCTAAGACTTAATGCATAACTTAATTTCTGGTTACTGAATAAAGTTTTAAGCACAATCATGCATTTTTCGTATTCACTGAAGGGAAGTTATTAACCGTTATTGCACTTTTCAAACTATCTTTGGCTCAGAAAAGGAATTACAGTATGTGCATGTATGTCTGAAGCCTAGATGTTCAACTTTTGGTATATGAAAAGAACACAATTTTAAATTTAAATTTAAGCATCTCCATAACGTCTGGTTTTAATATACTACTTGTATTCTTTCGATTGGAAAGAATATGTATACCAGTATTGAGTGATTGTAATTTTTAGAATAAGCAATTTAATTAAGACATTAATCCATACTATAATATTAATGCATTTTCATGTGACTTAATTTTCATTTATGATTTATATTGTTATTTGCAATCTTGATGTTTCAAATTTAATTATAATTTTATTATAATGATTAGTGACTACATGTGTACATGTTTTTTTCTGTCTTATAGATTTCACATGATTGTTATAATGTACATGAAAGAAGTTGCAAAACAGATGAGTAATATATATCTAAAATTATATATCTCAAATGTGTCAACATAATTTTTTATACCAGCTTCTTTTAACATTTTGTCTTTTCTTTTACTGAAGAAAGTACATATTGTGTTACCTGCAGATAATCACTCATCCTTCATTAGTCAATATTTGTATAAATTTCTAATGCTACTTAATAAAGATTTTAAGCACAATCATTGACAAGCATTTTTCTTATTCATGCACTGAAGGGAGGAACTTGTTGATGCAAAATTAATTCTTAACAGTATTTTGGTCATAAAACAAAGAAGAAGGTACGGTTTGGGCTTTATTGTGCCTTAAACATTTAATGTTCTTAAAAAGCTATGAAATTGACTTTTACAATAGTTGAGTAGATGAATATGATAAAGCATTTGATTTAAGAATATGGCATGAAGGAGGAGGATGTCAGTAATTAGGTATATTTCTAAGATTAGTGTAGAAAAGCCATAGATTGACTCATTTCTGTTCTTATTTTCCTTTAGAAAATAGTGTCTGCCACTGTCGCCCACTTCAATTTTTGGATATATTATGTAAACTTCTATGAAAAATCTATATCTCAAATTCTTTGTGGCTCTGGTGGGAGAGTTTGTTTTCTGAAAGAAATTAATTCCACTGAAAATTGATTTCTTCTGCAAATTTTTTTTTAAAGAAAATACAGGCAAATTTACTTAAGATATAAGGTATCAATTTTATTTAGTTTTATTGGCATGCAAAACGGGTTGGTCAGGTTTCATAATCATAATTATGTGTTTTTCCTATTGACGGAAGGGAGATAAGAAAACTGATTGCCTTTGTAAATACAGAAAACTAGTAAATCTTGATCTTGTCACAAGGATTACATATGTGAGGTATGAAAACCCTATAGTCCTAATCGTTCAAAAGTAATGCCAAGATTAAAGTTCATAAAAAGTAGGTCAAGCTCCAAGGTCAAAGTTTTTTGTTTCCAGAATAAGGTCTTGTTACAAGGATTAAATATTTGAAGTATGAAAGCCCTAGTCCCAACCATTCAAAAGTTATAGTCAATGTTTGTGATTAAAAAATTGAATCAAAGTCAAGGTCAAACTTTTTGATATACAAAGAAAGTTCTTCTCACAAGAACTAGATATATGAAATATGAAAACCATAGCCCTAATCATTCAGAAATCACAGTCATGGTTAAAGTTTTGTTTGATGTATGTTAATCTCCAAAATCTAAAGGTCAAAGTTTTGGACATCCAATGGAAACTCTTTAAAAAAATACTTATTGTTATTATGTTAAGTATGAAAGTCGTAGTATTAGTGTGAAAAAGTTTGTGTCAAACTCCAAGGTCAAAAGGTCAAATTTGGTGGTAACCAAAGAAAAGTCTTGTCACAAAGAATACAATTTATGTCAAATATGACAGTCATAGCTCCATCAAATCCATTAAGAAATAAACGTAAAACTTAAAAAGTGTTTTGGTATAGATATCAAGCTTGAAATACCCGCTGTAAACACATAGTGCGACTTCGATTCGTATCCGAGCATTAACTCTTGGTTGATGTCACATGACCGGTTACACCAACTTGTGGTTTTCAAGCGAACTCGTATAAGGGTAGCAAAAATAACGGCGTACATACTTGCTCTGTACGATAATTTTAGCAATAAAGTGGCAATATACATTTTATATACATGTTCTATGTCTCAGCAACAATTTTAATGAAAAGTTAGGTTCACAATTTAATATTTCTTGCAAACCAACAAAAATGGGAATGAATTCAATTTCGTCCAGACCAGTTTCTTGATACCTAACACCCACAGCCGTCTTTTTTTTATCGGATGTCGTAGCCCCCCCCCCCCTCCCGCACACCGCCTCTCTAAATACAACACCAAATATCTGGAACTACATGTATACATATATTCAACGAGTAATGATATTTTCTCCCTTATATCAAAATGTTTGGAACGGTACACAATTGTCATTCT